ATGTTGATGATATCATATTTAGATCAACCAATCAAGATTTTTGTGACGAGTTTGGAAAAATGATGGCTAATGAATTTGAGATGTCCATGATTGGAGAGTTAAGTTACTTCCTTGGTCTTCAAATCAAGCAATTAAAGAATGGTATATTTGTAAGTCAAGGCAAGTACATCAAGGACATGATCAAGAAGTTTGACATGAGTGATAGCAAAGCCATTAGCACACCAATGGGAACAAATGGCAACTTGGATAGTGATGCAAGTGGAAATATGGTGGATCAAAAACTGTATCGGTCTATGATTGGAAGCCTACTCTATGTGACCACATCAAGGCCGGATGTCATGTTTAGTGTATGCATGTGTGCAAGATTTCAATCCTCACCAAGTGAAAGTCATTTGAAGGCTACAAAGAGAATATTGAGGTACTTGAAGCATACACAAAATGTTGGTTTGTGGTATCCCAAAGGAGCTAAGTTTGAACTAGTTTGTTACTCCGACTCGGACTATGCGGGATGCAAGGTTGAAAGGAAGAGCACATCGGGCACATGTCAATTGTTGGGAAGATCACTTCTTTCATGGTCATCAAAGAAGCAAAATAGTGTTGCATTATCAACCGCCGAAGCCGAATACATATCCGCCGGTAGTTGTTGTGCACAAATACTTTGGATGAAGGCCACTTTGAGTGACTTTGGAATCAAGTTCAAGAAAGTGCCATTACTATGTGACAATGAGAGTGCAATCAAGTTGACTAACAATCCGGTTCAACATGCAAGAACAAAGCATATTGATGTCCGCCACCATTTCATAAGAGATCACCAACAAAAAGGGCACATTTGCATTGAGAGTATAGGCACTGAAGATCAACTTGCTGATATATTCACCAAGCCATTGGATGAGAAAAGGTTTTGCAAGCTAAGGAATGAGTTGAACATATTGGATTTCTCAAATATGTGTTGATGCAACCCCACTTATATGACATGCCTCTCCTTCGAGCAATCCAAGGTAAAAGTTGATTGGCATGGCATACATCCTTGCTAAGGACATGTTTAGTGCATCTAGTCATCTCTCCATTTTATTAGGCTCATTCATGGTACAAGATAACTCTTATTTAGAGGTGTGAAGAAGCTTGTCCTTGGATCAAACCGAGTTAAATATCTTTGTTAAATAATCTAGTTTGAACCAAATTTGAAAATATGATCCTCACCCCATTGATTGACATTGATAATCTTGACCCTACAAATGGTATTATCTACATTTCGAACCTTTGTGGTCATTGATGACAAAGGGGGAGAAATTAGTGTACAAAGATAGAAGTGAAATAGGGGGAGAAAAATAGTAGTGATATTAATACATGGGGAGAACTTGACATAGGAGTAGAAATATGACAAAGGAAAGGGATCATTAAATTTTTTTTAGCACACAAGTAGGGGGAGCAAGCTCATGAACTTGTATGATGCATTTGAATGTGCATTTCATATGTTTGCTTGCATGGCACAAGTTCTAAATTAAAAATATCCATGCTTGTGTGATGTATACTAGTTGTAAGATTGAATGATGAAACAAAATCACTAGAGAACTTTCATTTCCAAGTAAGTTTTTACAAGTGGTATCTAACTATCTTTTCAAAGCATGTTTCCAAGCGGTATCTAGCTAACCATGGTGCTAAGGATGGTATAATGGTGCACTCCGATTGGTATCACGCTTCAAAGGTCCATCTTTTATACCTTAGCATCATTTGGTAGAAATTGACTCCTATAGTTCCTATCTAAGCATATGTGCAAGCTACAATCCAAACTCTTAGCACATATGTAGGGGGAGAAATTGCTACCATATGGGGTTCATGAAACTTGTCCATATCCGTTTACACATGGTAAATATGCTTGGGCAAGCAACATGGATTCAATTGAATTTTAATTCATATTTTTGTATAAGGGTTGTCATCAATTACCAAAAAGGGGGAGATTGAAAGCTCTAGTTTGGTTTTGGTAAATTGATGAAACCCTAAGTGCTAACCTAGTTTATCAAGTGATCATGAGATAGGTAGCACACTGCAAGTGGTGAAGCAAATGAAGATCATACAAATGATGATAATGATGGCATGGTGATGATCAAGTGCTTCGACTTGGAAAGAAGAAAGAGAAAAATAAAAAGCTCAAGGCAAAGGTATAATTTGTAGGAGCTATTTTGTTTTGGTGATCAAGACACTTAGAAAGTGTGATGACATTTAGGATTGATAGCCGTACTATTAAGAGGGGTGAAACTGGTATCGAAATGCAGTTATCAAAGTGCCACTAGATGCTCTAACTCATTGCATATGCATTTAGGATCTAGTGGAATGCTAACACCCTTGAAAATGTTTGTAAAACATGCTAACACATGTGCACAAGGTGATACACTTGGTGGTTGGCACATTTGAGCAAGGGTGAAGAAGTTAGAGGTGAAAATGAGTTAGTGTCGCTGGCTATACAGTGACCGGACGCTTGACCTCTGGGGGACCGGCGCGTCCGGCCATGTGTAGCAGTGAAGACGCCAGCATCGGTAAATGACCGGATGCTGGGTCATGGACAGACCGGACACTGAGGTTCAGGGTCCAGTCATGTTGTCAGATGGCGCAGAAGAAAGTTACAGGGTGACCGGACGCTGGCAGGCTCCGATCAAGCATGACTGGACGCGTTCGGTCGAAGAAAGTCGCTTCTAGAACTTTACTGGAAACGACCGGACATTGGAGGCTCAGCGTCCGGTCAGTTATAGCGGAGCGTCCGGTCAAGAGATGACCGTTGAAATTAGATGACTCTAGTTGAACGCAGTGTGACACATGGCTGACATCGGGCGACTGGACGCTGGGTCCAGCGTCCGGTCAGTTTGACCGGAGCGTCCGGTCACCCCGTGTTGTGCCCAATAAAGGGGTACAACGGCTTTATTTCGTGGGGGCTTCTATTTAAGCCCCATGGCTGGTTCAAGCTCACTCTCTTGGCCATTTGCATTAACATAGCAACCTTGTGAGCTTAGCCAAAGCCCTCCCACTCATCTCCATCATTGATTCATCATCTTTGTGAGATTGGGAGTGAATCCAAGTGCATTACTTGAGTGTTTGCATCTAGAGGCACTTGGTGTTCGTGTTTCGCTGCGGGATTCGCTTGTTACTCTTGGTGGTTGCCGCCACCTAGACGGCTTGGAGCAGCGAGGATCGTCGAGCGGAGGGTGGTGATTGTCTCCGGCTCCGATCGTGATGATTGTGAGGGGTGCTTGACCTTTCCCCGGTGGAGAGCCAAAAGGTACTATAGTGGATTGTTCGTGGCTTGTGTGATCCTCATCTTGTGTTGGTTGTGCGGCACCCTATTGAAGGTTTGGCGTGTGATTCCAATTAGCGCGTGAACCTCCAAGTGAGTAAATCGCCACAACGAGGACTAGCTTGCCGGCAAGCAAGTGAACATCGGTAAAAAAATCATTGGGTTCATCATTTGATTCCGAGGTGATTGGTCTTCATTGTTATTCACATTTGTGATTGTTTGGCTCGTTCATCTACACGGCAGTATAACTTTCTTGCTTACTCTTTACATTACCGCAAACTAGTTGTCAAGCTCTTTAGTGTAGCTAGTTGTGAGAGCTTGTTAGTTTGGTTAGTGTGGCTCTTTAGTTAGCATTTGAGAGCACACCAACTTAGTGTAGTTGCATAGCAATTGTGTGGATAGATACTATCTAAACTAGAATTGAGGTAGGTGGCTTGTACTTTTAGTAGGCTGGTGCAACACTCGCTTCGCCGTATAATTGTCTAACCCTTTTGCTAAAGTGTTGTTGTAGAAATTTTATTAGGCTATTCACCCCCCCTCTAGCCATTAGGACCTTTCACTCTCCCTGTGCGGCGGCGCTCCTCCACGGCCTCCACTTGATCCGGCCCCGGCGCGGGCGGATCCGGCGACGGTGGCGCATGGGGAGGCCGGACCTGCCCCGGCGCGGGTGGACGGATCTGGCGTGCGGTCCTCCTCTCCTGGCGCGGCGGCGCCCTACCCCCTCCCTCTCCCGGCACGACGGCGCCCTGCCCTCTCCATCTCCCAGCGCGGTAGCGCCCTCCCCCTCCCTTTCTCGGCGGTGGCGCCCTCCCCCCTTCCTTTCTCAGCATGGCGGCGCTCCCCCTGCCTCTCCCTTTCCCGGCGGCGCTCCTCCACCGCCTCCACCAGATCTGGCCCCCGCGCGGGCGGATCTAGCGACGGTGGCGCACGGGGAGCCCGGATCCGGCCCCGGCGCGGGCGGATGGATCTGGCGACGGTGGCGCACGGGGATGTTGGATCTGGCCTGGGCGTGGTGGCGTAGTGTGGTGGTGGTGCAGCGTGGTGGCGGCGCGGTGTGGTGGGGCCTGGGCTTGGTTTTTTTTCTGAAAAATTGTTTGCCGAGTGTTTTTTGGACACTCGACAAAGTCTTTGCTGAGTGCCCGACAAAAAACACTCGGCAAAGTTAGTTTGTCGATAAATTTTTGCCGTGTGTCCTTTGCCGAGTGTTTTAGTCAAAGCTCCCGTTCCCCGTAGTCATCATTCTAAAATGGAAGTAGCACTTATGTTTCATGGGGGATAATTCCAATGTACAAAAGACAATAAAAAGTTACTGTTTGATACTTTCCTTTCAGGGACAATTTCAATATTCAAAAAACAATAAAAAGTTACAGTTTGATGCTTTCCTTTCGTATATAATTATCTACTTGTTGTGAGTCATTTTTTCGGTAGTTCTTTTTATTTTCAAAACAACTAAAAATTCATAAATTGATTGGGTATCATTTCATACAAGGATCACATAGCAATTTCACATGAACTTTTTACTGGAAACAGTACAATTCTCAGATACAGGAATTAGGATACTTTGACATATTCCAAACCTGTGTTACTATCGCCAACATCATCTCTTTAGTTGTATTATTAAGCTGATAACAATATACATGTCATTTGCATTAAATATTTTGGTGCCAATTTGAATGGTTTTGTGTAAATGCAGGTACTTAGAAGATGGAGGCACATGTGGATTAAATCATCGAAGCATACACCCTTGGGCTATCAACAAGTGACAAAATGCCTCGAGCTGGCCCAAAGATGCATCCAAATTAACCCGACCTGACATAGTGTACATATTGGACGAGCTCAACACAATAGATAGTAAGGGTGGCCAATTCCAGGTGTGCCCATACGTGCTCCCTGAACCTCAAGGGATCTAAAGCTTTCATAGGCTGTGGTAAAGCTAATGCATCTTTAATTTCTCCATTACAGGAAATCCCTTGCTTGGACGACATGCTTGGGGTTGAGCCACTGGAAATGCACTTTCCCTTTGAACTTGACCTGCAGATATCACGATCAATTGAGCTGACCAATGATACGGAGGATTACATTGCCTTCATGACAAAGGCAAGGCTACGCCGCTTCCGCATAGAGCCAGACAAGGGCATTGACCCACCAAGATCCAAGTGCAGCGTCATTGATAGGATAATTAGATCTTACCGCGGCTGCGAAGAGTGTAGAGATAGGAGATTGGAAGATGGGGGCAAGGTTGACGGTGCTGGGGCGCTGTGGTACAGTACCACTGTTCACGCCAGGTGCTGCCCTAGGGCTTGCGTGGGAAGGAGGCAGAGAGATCACGTAGGTGGCCCTTGAGGCCCGGCAAATATTATTGCCTTGCTCGATTAAATTGATGCATCTTCTCTCCGTATATAGGGAGGTTTACTTTACTCCTGAGCAAAGCTTACTTAACCCCTAATCAAGCGACTCTTATCTCTAAATCAATCACAAGCCAAAGGGCCTCTAGTCCAACTGGTTAAAGCGTCTCAGCGGCACTCCTCAGGTCCTGGGTTCGAATCCCCGTGGGAGCGAATTTCAGGCTGGGGTTAAAAAAAATCCCCTCGTCTGTCCCACGCCAAAGCACATATCTAAGGAACGGCCCCGTTCTCACAGGACTACGGTGCCGCTGTGTATGGGTGGGGCAGGGGTTGGGGGGTTTTCTGGACCTGCGTGAGAAGATCTTCTTCTTCTTAATGCAATGCCCGGGGTGGTCATACCCCGCAGGTCCAGTTTTTTTTTAAATCAATCACAAATAGTATAATTATGGAAATAACAAAAATAACTATAGATAGTTGATCCCAGGTGCTTGGGCCCCTTGTCGCTGGTGTGGCCTAGCCACTGGGCCTGGGCCGGCGCTGATAAGAGATGCCCGTCATAACAGTCACCGTAACAATGCAAGCACAGGTCAACACACTGCCAAATAATCACTACAAGGAAGAGATCACCGTGGTGAGCACCAGAGTGGATGGAGGTCTTGCTGCTACGGATATACCGGAGACGTGTTCACTGAGAAGGAGGGTAACGTGGTTGATGAGGTGACTGTGATGGTTGTTTTTGATGAACCACCATCGGCTGATGAAGAATCCAGAAAGGATGTCTAAGATTCACCATGACTTATGTCATGTGAAAACATTCTCTCTTTTTTATGAAACAGGAGGGGTCGCCCCCTACTGGATTTTTATTAAAAGCAACAAAATAACAGTTCCACTGATTACAATCAAGAAACAAAGGAGGTGACAAAGAAAATTAACGCATTTACACAAGGGCTTCTAGCCATGAGTCAAACAGAGGTTGAAATCTTGTTTTTGCTCTGAGCTTAATCAGAGCAAGTTCCTGACGAAAAACAACTTTGCAATTAGCCACTGAATGCTGTAGACTTCTGAAGATGCTGTCATTTCGAGCTGACCAAATTGCCCAGCACAGGGAAACTATAATTTCCATGAAGAACGGGAATCGAAGCTGCTCTTTGAAGGAAGACAGAGTCACTAGGAGATCTCCTGTAATGAGATGAGTTAACCCCGGAATATTCCAACAAGCCAAAGCAAAAGGGCAGTGCAAAAAAAAGATGCAGCAAAGACTCCTCAGGTGCTGGATGACATAGAACACAATTGTATTCTTCTAGAACCATATTCTTTCTTTTTAGAAGCTCATGAGTACTAAGTCGGTCTTTGAGAAGCAACAAAAAAAACACCTTACGTTTGGGCTGACAGGAGGACTTCCATAACCACGAATATACTGGATGCACTTGTCTTGTACCAGCAAGATGAGAGTATGCTCTATTAGAAGCAAACTGTGTAGAGCCCCATATATAGCTCCAAAGATCATTTCCCTCCTGAAGGACAGTACCATCTATGATAACTGAAAGTTCTTGAGACTGAACAAAAGCTTCATGTGACAGAGGCAAATGAAAGAGATCAGAGAAATCTGCAGTTTGACAAACATTTTGGACTGACATCTGCTGATCTCTTACAAAAGAAAAGAGTTCTGGGAACCTTTGAAAAAGAGGTGTACCAATCCAAAGATCTAGCCAGAAGAAACAAGTGGCAGAATCCATTTCTTCTCTCTCTCTCTCTCTCGTGGATGAATATAGTAAGAATTTAAGTTTATAGCAAAGTTCCAGTCGGACCTAAAAGGATGTGGTTTGCCATGACTTCTGTCTTGTGAAAATATTCTTGAGTTATGTAGTATATATACAGTGGAATCATCTTGTGAGGTGTACATTAGTGTTGGTACACATATATATCAGGATGTTTTGGTTGATACCTATGCGGCAAGTCACCATACAATTGCCTAGTATGGTGCTCGAATGAATTTTCTGATTTTACAAACGTGTATTTGTGATATGTCAAATATTTGTATTGAAGACATGAAGAATTAAATGGTTGTTTGGATGCCAACTGAATTGCACTGATCAGATAAAATAATCTGAAGATGATAAAAAACACTGCATATTATTATGAGTTGGATTACAATAATTCAACCACCCGATTATAATAACCCTTAATCTGTCTCCAACGTCCTTTTTCGAGATTATAGGTCATTTCTACTCCAGCAAACAGTAATCCACCTCTAAAGAGATCTAAACACTCTAATCACTATAATCTTATTCATAATTCGTAATATAGATTTCTATAATTTAATTAGAATCAAACAGGCCATAAGTTTAGTGTAGTAATAATGCGACAAAAGTCTGTTTGGCTTTTGCCTAAAAAAAGAACGGAACTTTGTGCTATACTATATGTCCTTTCTCATTCTAGTTTTTTTTAGCAAACCTTTCTTATTCTACTAGTTGACTGAGTTGACCAGAAGAAGTTCTTCTGTAGTACCACTTCCATCCAACACCACGTTCCAGAGTTCTAGCTCTCCCGTTGCTAGACTTACTGCCCAGCAAACAGGACCCGCCGCCGGTCGGCATTCCCCAGCACCAGCGCCCGCCAATGATGCAGCTCAACACCTAATCCCTCCCCAGAACCCCCCCACGTCTGCAGCCCCTGTTCGAACCGGTAGCAGACTAGCAGTTTGAGCTTGAAGAGGAAGAGGAAGGGCTTCCACACCTGCGCGGCGCATCTTGCTGTTGCCCTAATACATCCTTCTGGCCCAAGGTACATTAAATTCTTTTTTTCTTTCTTTTTACAAAGCACAAGCGGGGGAAGGTACAGCGTACAGAAGATGGGATTTGTGGATTCAAAGCTGTTCCCCTGTTTCGTGCTTCGTAGATAAGAGGGTCTGTTGTTTATTCTAGATCTAGTTTACATGTTGATGCTCAACTTGCAACCTTGCTTCTCTGAGTCACGTTGGTTGCAATGTGCTGGGCCAGTGCTAAAGATGGGAATTTCTAGATAGCCTTATCCTCAGAAAATTTACCAAGAGATATGTCCAAATCCAAGACTTCTAGGACCAAACGGTAGATACTTTACCACTGCGTCGGAACTGATTTCATATATTGTGCAAATCAAAATTCAGATTTTTGTCAAGGGCATAACATTTTGTGGACTGGCTGATATGATAACTGTGACTTGTTCTAAACGAATGGCACAAAATATAAACATATAATCATTTTGAAGATGTCCCGTTTAGGTTACTGGATTTTTGTAGCAATCTTACTATTACTAATTAGAGAATCATTTCTAGCCTCCATACTGATCCTCACAAGACTTCTTAGAAAAAAAAATCCGAGACATTCTCACAAAAAACTAAAACATAAGGTAGACTTTAATAATATTTAGCAGCGATAACCATTAGTAGGAAGGGACATGGGGTGGGCTTGCTCTGACACTCCTACTATGCATGAGCACCTTTGAGCTATCGGAGGAGAAGGAACAAGGAAATAACTCAATAAGGGAAGATGTTGGATGCAATAGAAATGAGCCCCCTTATGACTTAACTCTGTGTCTGCCATTGCTATTTGGATCCATAACGGCTTTTTTCTTTAAAAAATACCTATCTCTGTCATTGTGAGAAATAATCTAAAGTGGCCCCTGACCTCCACCTAAACTACCAAACTATGCCATTAAAAATTACCCCACCTCTACCATTATGTAAAGTGCAAAGTAAACCTAATCCACATCTAAATTACCCACCATTACCTTGCCTCTTCCTTTTCCTAAACCCTAAACACTCATTGTTATAAAGAAAATGTCCCCAAGTAATTGTTTTTCTACTTACCATCTTCAGCCATTGTTAATATAGAAAAAGCTAATCAATACGTACATGTATGATCTGTGTCACACCAGACTGACCATGTATACTTGTATGTATGAAGCAATGGATGTTACGTAAGGTTTGAACTAAACATATGTCAAACACGCATGGATGTGTGATGGAAAGGTGAAAAACTATGAATGGGCATAGGAAAGAATATATTTAGTCGGTACTAAACTCTATTACAACTAGACAAAGATGAGAAAGCACCTGTATGACTGTATGAGTATTGTATTAAATAAGAACAAATGAGAAAAAAAGCAAAAAGATATGCAATTTTGGTTAGCTATAGATTTTGACATCGAAGAAGCAACAATTATCTTTACGCTGCCATGGACGCAGATATTTCAGTTCAAATGCCTAGAGCATAGGAAAATGAAGAGGCAAGGTATAAATGAACAGCACCAGTCATTTAGTCCTGGTCCTGCTCTGGTGCCAGAATCAGCAGATGGCCGACAGATCGTCAGTATGCATCAGGACGAAGACGAACATGGTTCCTCCAGTTTCAAAGCAGGTCTCTTAGGATGCTGGTTAAGTTGATTCTCCATGTCCACCTTAACTGTGTTGTCAAGGGAACCCAAATACCGCACCTCCTTGAGTTTTCCTTTAGAGAGTCTCTTCAGCTCAGCAAACTTCACTGCCGACCCAGTACAGCATTTAGCTGTCAGCAGCTCAAGATTTTGCATTGCTAATGATCCAAAGGATACATTTAACTCTGAGTTGCAAGCAATCTCAAGTATCTTGAGGTTCCAATAACTGCTCTGCTCTACTACATTCACCTCGACAAAAAAGTTAAGCTTATTGTCATCTCCATCTTTAAGCGGCTTGACATAAAAATGTAGAATACATAGTTCTTTTATTTCCCCAAGAACTTTGATTACTTCAACTTCTTCTGACATAGTTATCTCCAGTTCCAACTTTGTTAGTTTGGGAAGATCTCTGATCCATGCTGGCACTTCTTTTACAAGACCATATAGCTTAAGGCTCTGAAGATTCTCCGGAGCCTTCTTCTGAGGCGAGAACATGTCATTCAAACAAGGTTTGTTATCGCATGTGATGAGCCACACTGACAAGGATTCCAAATGAACGTGGTCTGAGATGGCAGAACAGAAGTTGCTGTTTTTCTTGTTGACGCCTGTCACTTCGAGCTTGTGCAATTGGGTGAGCTTCTTGAGCTCTTTCAGGATGGCCTTGCCCCCTGAAAAACCAACATTGACAGCACCAAGAGTGTGCAAGGCTGTAAGTTCCTCAATCCCTGCAGGCACCTGAACACCACCTACAGGACAAGCTCTGTGGCAGCTAGGCAACCAAGACAAATGAGCACATGGCACTGATGGTTTCTTAGCTGTGCCAGCACGAATGTACTGCAGCTTGGTAAGCTTGGTGATGGATGGAGGTAAAGTGAATATGGAGGTGCCCCTGACATCCAGAGTTTCAAGCTGCCTCAGAGCAGCAAATAAACTTGGCAGATGGCAGATCTCTCTTATTCCTCTCAGAGAGAGTAACTTGAGGCGAGGAATCAGCTTCAGCATCTGCTCCAGGTATTCATATGTCACACCTGTTGCATTCTCGAGATCAAGCACCCGGAGCACCCTCATAGTTTCACTGATGAAGAAGGGCTTCCACTCTCCAAACACAGTGAGGGAGCGCAGCCTTGAGAAGTCAATACTACTGAACACGATCTTGTCTCTGTCCCAGCTTTCCTTTATGACAAGGTGCCGTCCTGTGCGTTGACTGGTCAATGTGCACCTGCCCTCCAGTTCGAAGACAAGATCCTCATTCTTTTGTCTTGATATGATGTACTCACGGAAGAAGCCATTGACTTGGCACAAGACCATTCTTGTATCTGCAGTGGTGACTGAATGTGGAGTCTGCTGGATGATACTCAGATCAAGGAGCATCGAGAAGAATTTCTCCCCATTATCCTCAGCTGACCGGTTGGACGTGTCCCTCAAGTAACCCTCTGCAATCCACCACCTCACTAGACGCCTCCGTCGAATGCATTGGCCTTGTGGGAAAACGGACAGGTAGAGGATACATGGCTTGAGGTAATCTGGGCAAGTACGGAAGTAGGAATGCATCCAACCAAATAGTCCACGCAGGTTTTCAAATTCCGGTTTAGTCTCCAGATCATGCATAAATCTGTCACTAAGTTTCATTGCGGTTTTCATCCAGCTGACTGTCATGGGTGCCAAAAAGTTGGCTACAGCAACTATTACTTTGGGAAGTCCGCCACACATGGAAATAAGTTTTCGAAGCTCCGGATCTTCAGAATCCCTTAAAGCAGACGAATTTGGAAATGTGCCTACCTATATTATTGAAAAGAAGCTAAATTAGTAATAATTATTGTATCAATCAATTACACTTTAGGTTTAGTTTTAGCTCGTGCTGTTAGCATGCATAAACTCATGTATTAGAAATTGGAAAAAATACATGTGCATCAAGATCTGTTTGTTTTATCTTACAAATTGTGGATTGCAGCTTGTTGTTTGTTATAATCTGTAAGTTTTTATTTAGAAAAATATACAATTTTTTGTTGAAATATTACGACATATCTATATTGATAGTATGCTTGTAATATGGTCTGTTGTTTATAAAATCGATACTACTAAACATATAGTTCTTTAATAGAAAAAAATTGTATTCATGATCCTAGTTTTTTTCTGGATTTTTAGGATACCAAAAGGAGTTTTGTTAAGCATACTATAGAAGACTTGGATAAGATGATTCTGTGTATTTTAAGAATTTGGGATGAGCATAGTAGCAACAGAAAAAAAAAGGCTTGGATAAAACTACTTTGATGCAAAAAAAAAAAAAAAATGTTCACACCATTTGTCATGTTTTGCAAAACACAGTTTAATCTCCTAGAGGGGAAAGGGGGGGGCGTAGGGAAAAGAAGAAAAAATATAGATTTGAGCATCAAAATGTATCTGACAAATTAGATTTAGCAAGACCAAGAGAATAGGCAAGTATCTTGCAAGAAAAGACACCTTCTTTTTGAAAAGATCACGTGTTGCATCATCTTCTAGACTTTTGACATTGTACATGGCCTCTTCTCGATTTGCACAATGTATGGCTATGCTTGCTTCAGTTGTAATCACAACGATAATGCTTCTAGAATGTGTTGATACCAAGTAATGTCATATTAGGTCCCACTCTTCTGTGGATTGCAAATCATCTATAACGACAAGGCAGCGATGCTTCACCAGAAGCTCATGAAACTCTTGAATGGGATTGCTGATTCCATTTTGCTGAGGAGAATCTGACCGAAGTTCTGAAAGTAAGCTCCAAGCCAAGTTCCTTAAATTGAACGGATGTGATACATCCACCCAACTGTACATGGTAAATATTCTGTTGCTGCTGTCAGACATTATGTTGTAGTGTAAGTTCCTGACTAGAGCTGATTTCCCAACACCAGCTATCCCCCACACGGATATCACAGGAAAGCCATTAACACACGCCTTGGCTAAATAGCCACGAAGATCTTTCATCTGTGAATTGCGTACTTTAACTTGGGGGAATCGACCAATCCACATATCAGTGTTATTTTGGACACCCATTGATGATGATGCCTCATTATTGTTAGCCATCACCATAGTGGTTTGCTTGCTTTTATCTCCGTCGCCTTGAGAACTCTGAAAATATAGAAAATTTAAGGAGAAAGGTTGTCAAGGAGACCTCAAGAGAGGGGGACATATGCACTTGGGAGGAGGAATTAATGTAACATGCAACAAACATTGGAGGGATGGCACAGTTTCTGAATCCTGTGCCAAGTGTTACATTATGAGTTGGGATTTGCTGATTTCACTGAACAAATATAAGAGTTTATTCCACTACTTTCTCCTAAACCTATCTCCGTTATTCCCTATGGGGAATCAGTCTCAGGGGGAGGGGGGGGGGGGGCTTTTGTTAATGATAAATGATAAATATACCAGTGACTACTATTGTCTGCACTTTTCCACAGCCAGCCCTTCAAGCGTTTCACTTTCACTGGTGATGAGCAACAGTAGAACTGCTACTGTACATTGTTAATCAAAGTACATCTATATCTATCAATAGTTTTAAATTTTTTTTTCTAGCATATGATTAGAATATGTAAAGTTCTTTACAGGGAACTACTGATGTCCAAAACAACAAAAGCAAAAGAGATTAAGGCCATTTTTTCCGGAAAGCTATTCGATTGTGTTCCAGCTGCTTACCTCCCTGAAGAAGACACATACAGATTGTTCAGCTGAGGACTGCTTGAGCTCAAACACTTGCCATGGATCTCCAACACACAGCCTGGCGACTTCAGAATGCTGTGTAGAGATGATGACCCAACTGTGATTTTTCTCTTCAGGCAGGTAAGCTCTGACGGTGTCCCACTCTACCATACTGGAAACGTTTTCCAGGATAACCAGGTATCTCTCCTTCATTTGCTCCATGAACTCTTCAATAAGTTCACCTTCTGCAGCCATTTCCAATCTCTTGACGATACCTATGTCTACACCCAGTTTCTTTTGTAGGCAAGAGTTTGTGTGGAACTGAATCAGCAAGCTCCGCTGGAAGTCATGGGGATTGAAAGGGTGCGTCAGCTTTGCCCAGCCATGGCATCCGAAGCTTTCACACATTTCTGGTTTGCCATAGGCCTCCCTGATGATGGGTATGGTATCAGCATTGCCACCTGCTGCCCACACTGAGATCACTCCAAGGTCTCCACCAGGTTTCTTCTTGGTGATCAACAACTTGGTCAGATCTCCTAATCCTCGTTGCATCTTAGTGGTATCTCTTGCTTTGACGAGCATGTCAAATGTCGTGGCACCGACAGAAGCACCAGGCACCAATTGTTGCTGCGTGACAGGCTTGGAACCTGAATCACTGATGAGGTTGTAGCTCATGTTCCTAAGGCTCACCTCCTCAACCCTGCCCTTGAGCAGCTTTATCTTGGCGACCGCCTTGTCCAGTGGCAGCTCCGACCTGATGAAGCCTGGGATGCAGCGGCAATACCAGTCTGGCGCCTTGTCAAGGTGGATCACTTACTCGATGCAGTCCTCCACATTGTTGGCGAGATCACGGACCTGTCTCACCCAGGTCCTCACCACGTTGTTCCTGGCGTGTTCCTCATCTGCGACATTAAGGACTGCATCATCTGGAACTCACCGGTGATGAACGCCAGGTCGTTCTGCGTGCTCTGCCGCAGTGTTGCCTCCTCCTCAATCGCCGCCAGGGCTTTGGTCACAGCTCCCTCCACCACCGACTTGGCCAAGCTCACTGCCAGGTCCGCCATTGCTTCCCCTGTCTCTTCTAGATACTCCAGTGTGTTTGTCTCTGTGGTAGCAGCTAGTGATTAGTGATGCTAATGCTCGGAGGAGTTTGGGGACATATGGGGATATCAGCTAGGCATGAACATAGTCAACTGGGAGTTTGGGGCATTTGCAAAGCAAGTCTTGCCTGGCCAGATCCGTGAGCTGAGTTGGATCTCTGATATATCTACTTAGCCGTTGACTAGCAAAACACAGTCGCCCCCTTGAGCCCTTCAACTTTCAGTTTCACATACTTCAACGTACGTGCAGTGATGTTTCTGCAACTATGTCATACCTAAATGATGTGGACCTGTAACCTGTTTGGAAAAAAAAGAACATTTCCTGTCAAGTGGAGACAGATTGATCGGTATGTGTTATGTTATGTGTGCTTCATGGAAAAGAACATTTTCACAATAATAATTAAAAGAACGCCACTTGTCATACTCTACTGGTTCTAAAAGTTTATGTTATTTTAGTTTATCTTAAATAAAAATATTCTTTGACCAAAGCCTACGGAAAAATAGTTTTGCTAAATGCACCGTTACATTAGATATATGGTATAAAACAGTCTCATCATTTGTGTGCTATTAAAAATGATGAATTTTGTGACGTGCAACCAGAAGTTGCTAGTTTTAACCGCCTTGCACACAAGAGAAAAACCGCTGCCGCCGCGCTCTTCACCAGAGGATCGCCTTGGCCCCTCTCCTCTCTCCCATCCAGTGACCTCGCTAGTGGCCAGAGGAGTCGGGACCTGATCCCTTTGTTTTTGGTTTTTCGTTGATTCTTGTTCTTCTAAGGTTTGGTTTCTAGCATCACCGACGAGGTGGCGGCGACGATGACGCACTCGAATAAGGTCTCTCCGGCCTCTCCCTACCTCGTCGACGGTCGATCCAGTGTTGATGAAGGACCAGTGAGAGTTTGGTCAGTCAGATTTGTTGGTTATCTCAGATCTTGGCGGCAGTTGGTGTGTTTATCAAGGAAAGCAGTCAGTTGGCTCTCTTCACGGCGATTTCGACCTCTTTTTTGGTTTGTTCTATTGCAAGGTCTAGCATCTTCACCATGCATTAAAGCATTCACTTGGAGGCTAATTAGAAGGGCTCTTGCCACTGGTCAAAGAGCTGGAGATCTCTCAACAAAAATAAGCAAACAATGTGCAACATGCAGTATGACTGAAAATGATTCTGACTTATTTTTCCATTGTACTTTTGCAAGGGTGGTTTGGTTCTCTGCATCACCCCCACCCAACCCCCCCCCCCCCACACACACACACACACACACACACACCCTGCTCACTTCCTTTTGCCACAGGAACAAGATGGTGTGCAGGAAATACTATCAATAATTATTGGTCAACACACCCCTGATGATGAATTCCAAAAAATACTTACAGCACTATGGTACCTCTGGAAAGCAAGGAATGATACTCGCTTTCAAAACAAAAGTTGGTCTGTTTTGCAGGTTCACCATGCAGTTACAGCGGATATCGAAGTCACTGCTATCACAACGGGAACATACAGTGACCAAGATCATATGCAGGAACAACAGAGGACCCATCAAACAGGTAATTCTTTGTCATTTGCAGGAACATCATCCAATGAAGGCCGACTAAATGTTGCTACAAATCAGTGACGTTTGCACACGCAAACTCCAACACCACCACTTTACAGAGTGCTACTACCAGCACTAATTCCAGGAACAAGAATCTACACCGATGCAGCAACAGCGCCGGACTCATTTCCACAAATTGCCAGAAGAGCAGTCTTAGGCATCTTCGTCATCAACACCCAGCCCCATACTAAGCTTGCAATATATATCAAAGCAGTGATGCTTCATTCCACATCAGTACTAATGGCTGAAGCAGCTGCTTTAGCATTAGCTGCTGAGATTACTTTGACTCTTCATCTTATGCACGTCACATATCTGTCAGACAACCAACAGCTAGTGAGCTTTTTCAATAGCTCAGACCACTCCAATCCTCCTCTCTGGTTCATCGGATGCGTCCGATGTGATTTGGACGTCTCTGGATGCTCTCTGTGTTGCATCGGACGCTAAGTAGCGTAGCGTTCGTTGTGACATCGGACGCTAAGGTGCAGAGCGAGCGCGGAGTCGACCGTTGGGCGCCAACGGCTATCTTCAAACGGTCGGGACATGTGGCGAGCGCTGGTGGCAGCGGACGCTGGACGTAGCGTCTGACGGCCCCAAGTTAGCGTCTAGTGTGGGCGCAAACAGTCCAATGAGTGGGGTAACGGCTAGTTGGGCCATGGGGGCTCTATATAAACGTGGTTGCCGGCTTTTGCTCACTCTCTTGGCTCTCTAACTTATTGATATACCTTGTTGAGCATATTCCACTCCCACTCATCTAGTTCATGTGTTGATCATCATTTGTGAGATTGGGAGTGATCCAAGTGCATTTGCATTGAGTTTGAGCATTTAGTGGCACTTGAGATTGTGTTGGCTGTGGGATTGCTTGTTACTCTTGGTAGTTGCCGTCACCTAGATGGCTTGGAGCAGTGGGATCGTTGAGCGGAGGGTGGTGATTGTCTCTGGCTCCAATCGGTGTGATTGTGAGGGGTTCTTGGGCTTATTCCCCAGCGGAGCGCCAAAAGCCACTCTAGTAAATTGCTCGTGACTTGTGTACCCTCATCTTGTGTTGGTTGTGCGGCACCCAAGTGTGGGTTAGGCGTATGATGCTTATAAGCGTGTAAACCTCCAAGTGAGTGCGTCGTCCCAACGGGGACTAGCTTGCCAGCAAGCAAGTGAACCGTGGGAGAAAAATCTTGTGTCACTAGTCTCTTGGAATTCACTTGGTAATCTTGTTGATTGACACATCGCTTGCCTGGCTTGGTATAATCCTTCCTACCCTCTCTTGTATTTACTCTAGTAGTATACTTGTGTAGGTGTAGTTGAGTAGCTCTAGTTGTAATTAGTTCTCTAGCTTGTTCACTAGATTAGTAGTAGTGACATAGCAATTGTTTGCCATAGAGATCATAATTCACTAGCATATTGGTAGGTGGCTTGCAACCCTTGTAGAGCTAGAGCAAAATTGCATTACGCCATTTGTTATACTAATCAAGTTGCTCTAGTGTTTTGTAGATTTTTTAATTAGTCTATTCACCCCCTCTAGCCATTTAGGACCTTACACCAGCCAGGGTCCGACGCCCCTGAAACTTCTCTACTCTTCTCTTTTCTTGCACCCTTGCTTCCGTGTGCCAACACCATCTCATGTCCATCACTTAGGCACTTGTGTTAGCATTTTTCAAAGCATTTTCAAGGGTCAAGTTAGCACTCACTAGGTCCTAATGCATATGCAATGAATCATTTCACCTAGTGGCACTTGATAACAACAATTACCATGATTTTCCCCTCTTCATAGTACGACTATCTATCCTAAACCCGGTCACGCACTCTATTGCGTCTTGACCGGCAAAACAAAATGCTCCTTAGGTTTATACCTTTGCCTTGAGCCCATTTTACTTTTCTCTTTCTTCTTCTCCATGTTGGAGCACTTGATCATCATCTTTTGGCCATCTCCATCACTTGAGTTGCCATCTAGCTCCATCACTTGGACTTGGGCCAACCTATCTCATAATCACACTTAGACATAGGGTTAGTCCAATAGGTTTCATCAATTAGCCAAAACCAAACTAGGACTTTCAATCTCCCCTTTTTTGGTAATTGATGACAACCTTCACAAAGATATGAAACAAATTCAATTTTGAACTTGAGTTGCTTGTCCAAGCATTTTGATCATGTATAAGAATTGGACAAGTGACACAAGTTTGATTTTGGTAGTGAAAGCATCTAGGCCCCTAGTTGGGTTTCGATGATTAATGACAATATGTGATTACTATGACTAACGTGTGTTTTGCAGAGGCAATTAAGTTAGGTCATGGTAATGGAGATCGATTGGGCAATCATGGTGGTCATGCCCCTACGATGGAAATCTTTTCGGTTTTCAAAGGATGGACGACAAGGTTAAGGATGGACGACAAGGTCATGCCCCTATCATGGTGGTCAAAGAATTGGACAAGTGTCGATTGGAGTTGAAGAGACACTTAGAGTAGTTTAGGACTTTGTTTTCTCTTTGGCCGTACTATTAAGGGGGTATGGATTGTTGCTTGACCTAGGTGAGTCTAGTGAGTTAGGTGTGGTGCACACTTGCTAAATCTAGCACTAGGTAGCTCCAAAATAGCCCTTAGATCCAATGCAGCAAACTTCATTCAAGTATGATCGAGAGTTGGAAGTAAATGGAGGGTCAAATACTGACCGAACGCTGGCACAGAGTCTGGTCAGTTCATTTGACCAAGGTGTTTTCGTCTGGCGTGATCGGACGCTGAGAGGTGAAGTGACCGGACGCTGAGGGCCAGCGTCCGGTCGACTCCAGTAAGGTTGAAAGTTCTAGTTTGGTTTTAGTGAATTGATGAAACCCTAAGTGCTAACCTAGTTTATCAAGTGATCATGAGATAGGTAGCGCATTTCAAGTGGTGAAGCAAATGAAGATCATAACATGATGATGGTGATGCCATGGTGATGATCAAGTGCTTGGACTTGAAAAGAAGAAAGAGAAAAATAAAAGGCTCAAGACAAAGGTATAAATTGTAGGAGCTATTTTGTTTTGGTGATTAAGACACTTAGAGAGTGTGATCACATTTAGGTTTGATAGCCGTACTATTAAGAGGGGTGAAACTCGTATTGAAATACGGTTATCAAAGTGCCACTAGATGCTCTAACTCATTGCATATGCATTTAGGATCTAGTGGAATGCTAACACCCTTGAAAATATTTGTGAAAATATGCTAACACATGTGCACAAGGTGATACACTTGGTGGTTGGCACTTTTGAGCAAGGGTGAAGAAGATAGAGGTGAAAAGGAGTTAGTCTCACTGGTCACAAAGTGACCGGACGCTGGTCTCAGAGGAACCGACGCGTCCGGTCAGTTGTAGCAGTGAAGACGCCAGCGTCGGTCTTTGATCGGACGCTGGG